CTCTGAAATCTGAATTGTCAATCCCAGGACTAAGGATCCTACCTCAGCATCTCTACCAGAACTCTCCATAGACACTGTGAACTTAACACATTGAAAACTAAAAAAATTAGAATGGTGTGGTGGCGCATGCCTGTAATCCCAGAGATCTGGCTGGGCTACAAAGTGAGTTCAAGGTCAGCCTGAACCACACAACCACACGGTAAAACTCTGTCTCAGATGAAAAAAAAAAAAAAAAAAAAAAAAAAAAAAAACCCTGAAAAAATTATCTTTCCCAGATTAAAAAATAAGATCCTTTATCCACAGGGTATTCCAAGCTACTTTCCGCTCCTTCAGAGCCAAGCTCTCTTGAAGTCCCGCCAATTCCAGTCTTCATCACCTGCCCGGCCTGTCCATTCCTGCTAGTAGTGTCCCGTTCCAGAGCCTTATCTGCACTATTTCAATAGCAATCGGTTTATTGCTACTTATCTTCCTTTTGTCTCTCTTCATTCAATTCAACCTCCACACTGCACACCACCATGTTAGTGTTCCTAATTACTCAAAACCTTCCTGTGGTTCATCACTGTTTTTAGAATCAATTCAAAGTCCTTAGCATGATACATAAGCTCCTTAGTACCAGGCACTATTAGACTTCCTTTTTTTGTTGTGTTTTTTGTTTTGTTTTGTTTTTTGTCTGGTTGGTTTGGGTGTGGGGGGTTGGTTTGTTGGGTTTTTTGGGGCAGAACTGGGGAATTGAACTCAGGCCCTTGGGCTTGCCAGGGAAGTGCTTATTCAGCCATCTCCGCCCACCCTTTTTTTTTTTTTTTTAAATTTAATGAATCCTAAGTCTTTACTTAGCTAAATCTGCTGTTTTACCATATATCCCCTGATTCAAAGTTGTAGAAGTGCCCTTAACATCATGTTCCATAATGAAAGACTGCCAAACTGGACCAATCATTCACTTCATTATCTCAAATAAAGGGAACTAAACCAACCTCCATTCTCACTTACCTCCCAATTTCAGTGACCCTAAAGCAGCCAACCCCCGCGATTTCCTTCTTTTTCTAGTTTATCTCCAGGCATCATCCTCTTTGGCCCTACCACTCACCTCAGTAACACTCTGATCTTTAGTGATCACCAACTACTTAAACACTTTCGGGTTTCTCAGGTTTTCACTCTTACTGTTTTCTTTTTCTTTTTTTTTTTTTTTTTTTTTTTTTTTTTTTCTGTGTGTGTGTGTGTGTGTGTGTGTGGCCAGCTCAGCCCACCAGGGGGCGGGGCGGGCTGGCATGTGGTGCTGGGGGATTGAACCGCGGTCCCTGTGCTTTGCTAAGCTTGTTCTAAGTAGGTGCTTTAGACCACTGAGCCATCTCACCAGCCCTCTTACTGTTTTCTTACCCCAACTCAGCAAACTCCTACTCACCCTTCAACACCAAATTCAAATACGGTAGCTTTTCTGTATCTTCCCTCCCTTCCACATGTAAAATACTTTTCTCATCAGCAGTCCCCATTAAACTCTAGCCCTCTCAGGGCACACTGAAACAACTTAGATTTATTCACATGCCTGGTTATAAGCTTCCTGAAGACAGCAATGCATTTTCTTTTCTTGAATCCCACATTTAACTTACGATTTAAGAACAGATATTTTAAACTTAATGGAAAATAAACATCCTGCATGTTGCTAAATAATGCCATAATTGTAATTACTGACTGGGAGTTTAGAAACAAAAAGAACCCCACATCATTCACCAGTCCCCCCCCCCAAAGTTTTTACAAAGTATAATTAAGCTGTAGCTTGTACATGCCTTCATCTGTATCTTGCAATACCAGTCCCCCCACCCTTTGAAGAAGTTCCTCTGAGGACTGTCTTTTAAATGCCTGTCGGGTTTCATATGTATATCACTCATAAAATTTGAAACTCACTGTAGTGCAAAGGTTAATGTCAGGGCTGCTGGATGCTCTCTGATTGAGTCCTGCCTCTGCTACTTATGCTTTCTGACCTTGGCCAAGTCATTCAGCCTCTCTCTGCCTCTCAATGAAATCGTAAAAGCATCCAGCCCTCCCAGTTCTGGTGTGAGGATTAAGTAGACGGACTCGTGTAAAGAATGTACAACACTGACTAGGTCTAGTAAATGCTAGCTGACAGTCTACTGTGCTAGTTAGTTTTCTGTTTATTTTTTCCATGCTGGGGATAAAATCCAGGGCACCCCGCACCAGCTAGGCCAAAGTGCTCTACAACTAAATTAAAACCCTATCCCTAAAATCAGTTTTTAAACTTTTTTTTGTTGTTATTTTTTAAGGCAGTGGGGATTGATTGAATGAGCTACATTCCCAGCCTGTCATCTTTTTTCTTTCTTTTTTAAAAAAAAATAATTTTATGAAAGGGTCTTGCTAAACTGCCCACACTGCGCCACTACGCCATTTCAAACAGCTTTTTCAATACAACCCACTTGGTGGAGCCTAAAAATTACCTAGGGGAAAGAACAACAACCCACTTGCATGTGAACACAAAATACTGTGAAAACAATGCTTTGAGGTTAAAAAAAGGTGCTGAAGAAATAATGTGAATGTAAGGTTTTAGACTTGTAAATTCAACAACTTATAAAAAAATTATAGAACACTTGTTTAAAATTGGGGTTTTAAAGCAGTTTCAAAACATACATCTGGTGAAATATTGAAGTATATCTAAATCAAACTTTAAAAGCAATGCAACACTGATAATATTCAATAACGGAACTTAGAAAAAATGGGGTATACAGATGAATGTCCATTTTGTATCTGTGTATTCAAAGTGGTTAGGGGGGCTGGCGAGATGGCTCAGTGGTCTAAAGCACCTACTCAGAACAAGCTAAGCCAAGCAAAGTACAGGGACCGTGGTTCAATCCCCAGCACCACATGCCAGCCCGCCCCGCCCCCTGGTGGGCTGAGCTGGCCACACACACACACACACACACACACACACAATAAATAAATTAAAAAAAAAAAAGTGGTTAGAATGGATGTATAGTTGCATTCTCTTAATGAATAGAATGATTTGTTCTAGTGGTGTTTGTAATAGGAATCTCAAGTCCGCATCTTGTATAGCAATTAACCACTAAGAAGAATATATGCAGTGTGTTATTTGTTGAAACTGTACTTCTGATTTGATTTGAAACTGTCTCATTGCTGTTTATCAATAAAATTTTGAAAAAAAATAAAAGCAATGAAAAATACTAAATTCACAAAAAACCTATATTCGCTTATAACATTTATTTCATTCCTCCTTTTAATTTTTCTGTTTTTGAGACAGGGTCTCACTATGTAGCGCAGGCTGGCCTTGAGCTCACTTATGTATGTAGCCCAGGTTGGCCTCCAACTCACAGCAATCCTCCTGCCTCAGCCTCCCCAGTGCTGGGATTACATGGATGCACCATCACAACTGGCTCTTTCAGTTAATTTCAGCTTGGCATACAATGGTCTAATATTTTTACTTTTAAGACTCACTATAGATCATTTAGAATTTTATTTCCACCAGGACATGTGGCATATGCCTGTCATCCCAGCATTCAGGAGGATAGCGTAGGAGGCTCACCCTAAACTGGAGGCCAGCCTGGGCTACTTGGTGAGTTAAAGGCCAGCCTGAAAGATATGATGAGACCCTGCCTCAAAGAAACCCTAAAACAATTATTTTCATCTTTAGAAAGCAGCCAGTTTCATCTTTAGGAAACAGACAAAGGGAGAGAAATCAATATTCTTCCTTTGTGCATTAAAAAAAATTCTACTGTCACATTTAATACAGAAATCCTAACAAAAGACCAAGAAGCACAATTACTGCATAGCCTGGTTCTCCCCTGGGGAATTATTAAAAGTACACTCCTGTAATTCATCTCTAAACCTCTGGACCCACACACCCCCAGTAAAGAACCTGGTGGCAAATGCCTGTAATCCCAGCACTCAGGAAGCTGAGATAGGAGGACTAACTGAGATTGCAAACAGCCTGGGCTACACAGAGGTTCAAGGCAGCCCCAAGTACACAGTGGGATTCTGTGTCAACAAAACAAAGCAACACAAATGTCTGTTACAAAGGCTAAACAAATGAAAGTTTTAATCTGAATCAATACTCCTTCTCACTTAAAAGTACAACTATTTACCTAAGGCAAAAGAGACTGATGGCTACCAAATCTCACGGTAAATGATTCAACAACAGCGTATGCATCCTATGCATTGTCTAGAAAATTTAACGACTTGGTTAAAAACAGAATACAATTTAAACAATGGCAACTTTGTGGAAAAATAGCTTCCACAACTTACATAGTAAACAGAAATTCAGCACGTCATCGGAAACAGCAGGCGTAAGCTCTATGTAGTCCCCACTGTGTGCCCGCCGCAGAGTCGAAGAAAACTTGTGACACTTGCAGAATGTGTCTGCACACATCTCATCCGGGCCTCAGAATGACCCACAAGCACGAGCGTCCCCAGTTCTCAAATTCAGCAAACCGAGGCCCGGAAAAGTTAATTCGGCGGAGAAATCAATCTGGAAAGTGAGCCCAGGCTGCAGGGTCAAGCCTTTGACTCATAATCTAATCATCTGCCACACCGATCACTCAAATGCTCTGACGTGTTCATCGTCAGCTTATTTTTAATTAAAATTCTACTTGACGACTTTCGCTACGTGCGTGTCAGACTCTATTCAGGAACAAAACGCACCCGCCAAGCAGAGAAACTGTCTCAAAGGCCCGGTTCAGCCAACCTAAGCGCAAACTTGCCCGCGGCTGAGGGGCGCCCCTTCTCAGAGCCGCCCGACCCCAAGTGGGCGGCGGGGCGACCCCAAGCCGGGCTCCGCCAGTCGAACCCCGGCCGCGCCGCCGACACCGGCCTCCCCCCGGGCGAGCAGGCCCCGCCAGGCCCCGTCGGCGCCCGCCAGCCCGGGAACACGCCGGGAAGCGCCGCAGCCCCACGCCAGACGCGGGACGGACGACGCCAACCGTCCGGGGCGGCCAAAGCCTTGGCGACCTCAGATCCCGCCAGGACTACGCCGCGCGTACCTGCCCGACCCTGAACATCGCTCCGCAGGCGCGTCACACGGTGCCGGTTCGCCGCCGACCTGCGGGACTACGAGGTCCAGCACCTCGGAACTCCGCTCCGCCCCCGCACACCCGGCCGAAGGGCCGACCCTCGCTCGCCCTGGACCCGCCCTGCATGGTTCCTATTGGCTTACATTAAAAGCCACGCCCACTTGATGCGGCCAGGCTCCGCCCTACCAGAGTTCCATTGGCTAACGTTGCCGTCCCTCACGCTCCGCCCGCCCGCCCGCGGCAGCGCCCGGGATCCGCGTGAGGAGAACCTCCGGCGTCGAGTACAGTCACCGGCCAGAACCTCGCCCACGGCTCTGGTTGCCGCCAAGCTGCGGTCCCAGCAGGCGGGAGACCGGTGCCGCGCCTGTCCGCCCGAGGCCTTGAGCTAGAGCTCCCAGGGCTCCACAGTGCCTGCGGTCAGACCGGCCCCCCGCGACGGACCTGAACTCTCCGTGACGTTTGACGCTTCTCAGCCACCAGAGAGTAAAGCCTGGTTTCATCAAGGAATCCTACTGGCACCTCTTTGAAAGAAGCTAGAATTGCCTGCGTCGGTGCTCAGCAGGCCTGTGGTTTTTAATGTCACACCGTAGCACCGTTTTTTTCTGGCCAAGTGCAAGGAACAAGTATTTCGCAGGCAATTGCAGTATGAGTCCAACTTGAATCGCCGGGAGACGCAAACTGGAAATCTCCGCGGAACTTTCTTGATACCTGCTCCCAGCGCCCAAGGGGGCCGCCACGCCTGGCTGAGACACACAAGTGCATCAGAACTGCGCCTGCAACACCCTCTTGCTCATGGCGCTGTGCCTGCTGCGAGCGTAGCCCAGTTTCAATAAGCCGCGAGACAAGGATGAGTGGAGCCTGTTTCCCAGGCGCTGGCTCGCCACCCACCCCACCTCCCCGCCCCATTCCACCCACCTCCCCGCCCTGCCTCACCCAGCCAGAGCCTCTTGGCCTCCCACATTTGTTCTCATAGAGGTACCAAAATAGAAGACTCCAAGGAAGAAGTGTTTGGTTACGCTTCACGGAAGACCCTGTCACAAGCCAACTTCAGCAGAACAATAAAGACAGCATATCTCAAACCACTGTGAAACCAAGAGAGGGGAACAATAAAAACAAATTGAATTATGTAATGGGGGTAGAGGTGTGACCACAGCACTTTTAAATCGTGGCGAGTGAGAAAAATAAACGTGAATGGCCTGTAATAAATTTTGGAACCTGAATCTCTTTCAGTAAGTATGTTTGTGATTCATAATGAATATACTCAACTAGGGAGTTGGTACATACGCATATTACATCTTAATCGTTTTTTTTGTTTTCCCTCCTTTGCCCTTCCTCCCCTCCTTCCATCTTTAAATCCTCTTTCCAGGGGCTGGGAAGATGGCTTAGTGGAATAAGTGCTTCCCTGGCAAGCGCAAGCGCCTGAGTTCAATGCCCGGTTCCACAAAAAAGAAAAACAAAAATTCTCCTCTTTCCATTTGCAAAAGATCTGTTGCTCTGTTTCTAGCATCTTTTATCTAGATTTCTCATATGAGAAAAACCATGCAATGATGAACCATTATCTGATTTATTTTACTTAGCATTATCTCCCAGTGCACTTATGCCTTGTGAGCAGTCCTTCAAATAACTTTAATTTATCCTCTAGGTATGCCACATTTTCTTTATCCATTTGTTTGTGGGTGGATATATAGGCATTTGCAAGATTTACCGATTGTGGGTTGTACTGCTATAAAAACAGGCATGTATTATCACTGTGCATTGTCTTTAACTCCTTGGGGCAAGATGCCCAGAAGGGCCAGAGTGAGGGTACAGCTGGGTAGAGTGGAGTTTCTATTTTAAGTTTTTTGAGGAATCCCTATTCTGATTTCCCTAGTGATTGTACTAGTTTACATTCCCACTAACAATTTGGCAGGGTAGGACTCTGATCTTTATGAACTCCCACTCCTCCTTATCTCGTATATTTAGAAAGTTTCGGGCTGGCATGTTGGTGCATGCCCATAATCCCAACACTGAGGCAGGAGGATCACCTTGAGTTTGAGGCCAACCTGGACTAAATAATGAGTTCAAAGCCTTCCTGAGCTATATAGCATGATCTTGTCTCAAAACAAACAGAAAAACAGAAAAAGTTTCTCAGGGGCTGGTGAGATGGCTCAGTGGTCTAAAGCACCTACTTAGAACAAGCTTAGCAAATCACAGGGACCCCCAGCACCACATGCCAGCCCCGCCCCCTGGTGGGCTGAGCTGGCCACACACACACACGCACACACGCACGCACGCACGCACGCACACGTGCACACACACACGCACAAATAAATAACAAGTTTCTCAGACAATTATTCAGGATAAAATTTTGGGTTAAAGTAGTGTGGTTTTGAAAAAAAAAATTGTTTTGGTGTTTTTTAAGACAGGGTCTTGTTTTGTAGTTCAGGCTGGCCTTGAACTCACTAGGTAGCCAAAATCGACCTCAAACTCTCAGCAACCCTCCTGCCTCAGCCTCCTAAGTGCTGGCATATGCCACCATGGCTGGCTCAAAATTTATCATTTGAACTTTGCCTTCAGAAAGATTATTTTGTACAAAACTGAAGCAGACTGAATTCCACATGTCAAATATAAAACCAAATCTGTCAAGAGTTGAGTGTAATAAATTAATTCACATTTATGTACTCTACTGCCCCCTCATGGGTAAGAGGGAGTTGTACATAGTGGTAGTTATGTCCAACTCTTTTAAATTTGAAAGTAGTGCTTCATTTATTTATTTGTGTTATTTGATGACCAGGAAGTCAAAGTAAAATAAAATCAGATTCAAACAGAACTTCAACTTGAGAAACCAGGAAGAGGATTCTTCCAGCAAGGCTAGTACAAACATGCCCACGGGGTCACACCTATGCTTATGACTACTTGTATAGTACGTGGAAACACAGGAATGTGCTTCACATATTTTTCCCCCACAGAACATCATCATTTTCTAAGAAGTTTCCCAAAATTCCCTTTCCCACATTTGTAGCCACATGCTTCATAACTTTGTGCTGTGAACACACAGCACTTGGGAGGAGAAACTTGGGAGGAGAAATGAAATCTTATTCTTTTTGTCTCTGATGTCTAGGACTGTACCCAACTCTGTAGATCAGTGACAGCAAAACTTTTAGACACAAATGTCCAAAATGCGACCCAAAACCAAAGTGCCCACATTACAATTAAACTGGAATCCAGAGGTTTTAGTTTAGAAAAAACAACTCAGCCACTTGGCTAGTGTGCTGACCGAGGGCTGTGTGCACACCGTGGCACACAGGCCACGGGTAGCCACCCTTGCTTTAGACATTTAACCAATAATTGCTAAATAAATTGAAAGAAATATCAGCCCAGCCACTAGAGGGCAACACAATTGTATATGTAGAAGTATAATCTGACTAATTGGAATTTTATCAGACCTTGAATAACAGGAACATCTTAAAAGTTGCATGTATGGGAAACTAAAACTCCTCTTGTAAGATAATAATGCGTAAATATCTGATTTTCTAAAATTTAGGCATACTTGCTTTTGCTTTTCAAATTTTAAAAAACCTTTTATTTATTCATTTATTTGGTACAAGGTCTCACTACAAGCTCGGACTTGTAGTGATCCTCCTGTCTCAGCCTCCCCAGTGCTGGGATTACAGGTGCACACCACCACGCCTGGTTTTGATCGCCAACACAGTGCACAGCATGCAGTACTAGGGATCAAACCCAGGTCCTGGCAGTTGCCAGGCCAGCACTCAGACCTCTGAGCTATCTCCCGGGCCCTCAAGTGACTTTTTAATGGCTCTAAGTGTCTTAATCAAGTCTAAGTATAAACCAAAACCAATATTTTCCAATTTGAAGAAATGTTTTTGCTAGCCTTAATAATTATTTTGCCTGAAAATCATGGAAACCCATGCAGCCAAATAAACGTAGGACCTCACTGCTAGCCCTCAACAGTTATATCAGGGGCTGGGGAGATGGCTTAGTAGAATAAGCACTTGCCTATCAAGTGCAAGGTCCTGAGTTCAATCCCTGGTACCGCAAAAAAAGAGAGGGGGGAAAAAAAAAACCAGTTGTATCCTTGTGCAAATCATTAACTTTACTAACTTCAGTTTATTCATGTTTCTCAAAATAGAGATGATATCTACTTTATGAAGTTGTATAAAGCATTAAATGAAATAATAGCAGTGAAACATCTAATATAATCCTTGCCTTATAGTAGGTACTTAATAACTGATACTTTTTTTCCCAAAATCTATAGTGAAAAATCTCACTCATATCATCATTTGGTTTATTTATTTTATTCTGTTGACTTAAGACCTTCAGCGATTAAGTTGAGTTCATAACACCAGGTTTCATAACGATAAGCCATGCGGATTTGGGCTACATTTGTCTTCCGGATATCATTCCCACTAGGGCCTTCCTCAAGATAATTATCACCCAGAAACTTTGCTTTTTCCTACGAGAAAGAAAAAAAAAAAGAGCAGAATGATTGTTGTTTGCTTTTAACCTGGTGTAGACAACAATAGCATCTTCCACAAAAAGTCCCTCTTCGTGAATTTCTGCCACAAGCAAAAGAGGAAAGACAATTTTGATGCATTCAGAAGTAATTACCTTGTTCCTCAGCATGCCTGATCTGCTGAGAAATGATTAATATTTAATTTGCCCTCCCCTATAGGAATGGCCAAAGAGATTATAGAATAATTGTTTCTAGTCCTTGTCTATAAAAAAAAGCATATAATTCATGAGACAATTTTTCTACATGGGTTTCCTCAATACTGTACTTCTTCAATATTCGAGTTACCCTCCACTCAGAAGGGCAGCCAAAGACAGCCTACCTCATGAGCAATCCCACACTGCAGCACGCTGTTCCTAGCCACTTCACACATGTCACAGGTGCTCAGCTTGAAGACTTGTGCGGCAATGGCATACTCCTCCATCAGGGGCTCCTGCCGTTATTTACGTAAATAACGTAATATGAGATGACATAAACAGAAGTGAATGCATTGATATAAAAAATGATACATGCCTTACACGTGGGAAAAAAAAGAAGTTCCTGGACTGGACTTTGCAATTGTGGGCAGGAAACAACTGTGGAGAGAAACACACTTGTATCCACGCGTACCTTGGTGAAGTGGAACTGCATGGGATCGTCGGTGGACAGGGAGATCATGAGCCCTTTCTGGAGGAAATCCAAAAAGGGATTTTTCGCATACTCGAGAAATAGGCTGTTGTTACTCAATGGTGACATAGCAATGGGAATCTGGGCTAAGAAATACAAGTACTGTAACACAGGACTCTGAAAAACAGTAAAAAGAAATTATGGATGAGGAAAGGAATAGAAGCTAGACACCTTAAAATCTCATGATCTACCTTGAGATTTAGTTTTCAACAAAAATATCACCTATCCTTGAAATCTCTTGCTATAGAAAACTTCTAGTTTTTCAGTACAAACAACTATTTAGAATCCATGAATTGGGGGTCATCCATTTTCAGAAGCTTTGAGTCAAGCCAAATTGTGTATTTGAGCTCCAGTTGTGTAGGTTTGATGACCTAACTCTGGCAATTAAAGCTGAAAAGACTTCACCCTGAAACCTATCTTTCTCTCTCTCTCTCTCTCTCTCTCTCTCTCTCTCTCTCTCTCTCTCTCTGCATGAAAATTCTGACTCACAAGAGGCATTTTACAACATGCTACAACAAGAAATCTGGCAAAATCTAGCTTCAGGTCAGCCAAGCCGCCTCTCAATGGTCCTTTGTACAGTTCTAAGAGGGGACGCTGGGAAATCTGCTCATCTCTGAGAGCAGTTAGTCAGGAAATCTTGAGCAAATCCCTTAGCTTTTATCATAGCATTAATCCTATCTGTAATCCCAGCACTGTGGAGGCTGAGGCAGGGGTAGTGTTGTAAGTCTCAGGCCAGTATGAGACTCTGCCTTGAAAGGAGGAAAGAAGGAAAGAAGGAAGGAAGGAAGGAAGGAAGGA